GGGTTTTACTTGTATCATATCGGTGTTTCTGTGTCAAACACTTGACAGCTGCTCCACCCGCCCTACTTCATACTCCCCACGTTTACCGATGCCAGCGCCGTGATCTTGCCTGCGAGCATCCTCCACATGCACGTTACATTTTCATACGTTTAAATCACGGAAAATAAACACGTGACAAGCGCCTGGCCATTCACCTTTGCCCGACGACGCACAGATTTCACGCTCTGACGAACAGATGATCACGCAAAAGCCGGGGTTTTTTTTTTTTTTTTTCGAAAACTTACTCAACGATTGTTATTCACAAAAAAAAAAAAAAAAAAAAACAGGTGTTAAGAGAAATCAGCAAATAATGGTCGAACGTAGCCACGAGGTAACCTGGTCACCGCGATGCTACGCTGACCGTGGTATGTAAACAACGCCGACTTCCTGCGCGTTTCCCCTTCGCGCCAAGACCCGTTTTCCTTTCGGTTCGTCGACTCGCCTGACCACTTCCTCTTTTTAAAATGTTTCTTCGACTTTAAAGTTTCATTTACTATCGACATGTGCTGAGGAGATAGGCTGCTGTCTGTCTGCTTTGTTGTATTAGATGATTACCTAGTTTACTTTTTAGATACAATAGTATTGTACATTAGCTTACTTCCACGGTTTCAATGTTACGTCATTCTTGATGGCTAAGGAAATTATCCGCACGCACTAGTATACTCTCTTGCATACACTCGCACACACATACGCACACACACACACACACACACACACACACACACACACACACACACACACACACACACACACATACATATACACATACACACACACAACATACACACACACACACACACACATACACACATATATATACATACATACACATAAAACACACACACACACATACGCACACACAGAGGTATGTATACACACTTAGGTATATATAGACATGCACACATACACATTGTAAACATACACACATTGATAGATATACACAAACATAGATTAATATACATGCTACACATAAACAATACACACACACACACCACACACACACACACACACACACACACACACGTACTCAATCCCGCAAGCACTCAAATAACCCGCAGCGAAACACTTAACAAGAAGCCAAGTGTAAAAAAAAAGTCTATTACCAAGCATGAAATTACAGTCACGGGAAAAAAATAACTGTTGAGAACCCACGTTGCTTCCCACCCCCCTCCTCCTCCCCACCCCCTCCCGCCCTCCTGTTGTTCCCGTAGCCTTGTAACCTAACTGGGAATGTGTTTGAGAGGAAGGGGGCAGGGAAAGGGAGGGGAAGGAAGGGGGGGGGCGAAGCAGGGTGAGTAACGGATTTATTTGGATTCTATTTTATTTTACTTTTTCTTGTTTTTCGTTCGCTCTCTTTTGTTTTTGAGCTACCTTTCTGTTTTTTCCTCCCTTCATCTCCCTTTCTCCCTCTTTTTTACTGTCTTCTCCCCTCTATAATTCATCATCTCCCTTTCTTTCTTTCTTTCTCTCTCTCTCTCTTCGACGACGTTCAGCATCAAGCTTTCAAGGTCAAAAGCATGGAAGAAAGTGCAACATGAGCTTATCATGTTACTCTCTACTCACCAGGACACTCGCCTCTGATACTATTTACCTGATGTGAATATTCACTCTTTACACGGGAACGACATAAAGATTTCATGCTATATCACGACAGGCTATTTTTTCAGTATATACCCATTAAAACCATGTGGTTCATTACAGTCACACAAATACATCTATATAATCTTTAAAAGTAAAGACCGAGGCAGACAAATAGAGTAGACAACAACAAACAACCTTTCCGGCATTCGAAGGGAAAGCCAGTCGATGGCTCCCCTGACCCGGATCTGCCTACTTCCTACCCACTCCCCGCCCCCTCCCCCCCGCCCCTCTGACTTTCTATTTACACCGTCTCCGCGGGCGAGCGATGATGCTTGTGTCTCCCCGGGCTCTGTCCTGTCTTGCTCGCTTATTAAGGCGTCTTTATCTTTTCATTGTGCGTTTCATTTTTTTTTTTTTTTTACTTTCATATTTTCTCTTTTGTTTCTTTTGTTCTGGGATCTGAAAGGGTTGTTGCAGTGATAGTAATTTAGTCTTTATGATATAGTCAAGAGTTTTTTGTTCTTCTAAGTCGCTGTCACTTATTATCGGTAATTTGCTTTATTGCTTCCTGTCTCTTAACTACTGGCATCCTAAAATGTTCGTTCGCGAAGATTATTCGAGAACAAAGGCTAAGGACCATCATACTCCTTGGCACACAGCTTCCTTCGCCCAGGGGAATAGAGTGGGGATGTTATATTTCACACTTCCACGAAATTTAAAACATATTTCGAACGACGTCCCTAGTCAGAGGTCTACCCATTACATACCCAATAACACGAAAGTAATAGTTATCAGGTAGTAGATGCTGAAAGCACAATGGCCAGGTAACAAATAGAGTTACCACCGCCCGGGAGGTCAACCAGAGAAGAGGAATTTATAGGAATGTCGGAAAATCTGTTCCCATCACCGCGGGAGATGAGGACCGTTGAGAGAGGGATAGGTGGCCGCCGTCCTCGCGAGGATTAACATTCCGGTATCTTGATTTAAGAGGTTGATTTATTGAAAAAGGAAATGAATTTTCACTTTTCTAACGTAAATATTTACGCATTTACCTACACTATTAAGTATCTTACATCTAAAATGTAAGTCCATCAATGTACATATAATGGCGGCATTGCACTCGCAGGCGCAAATTACTATAGTATGTTCACACTACCATGAAATCGCTTTTAAAATTCAACTTATAGACCGCAGGTGAGAAAATTATAAAAAAAACTGACAGATAAAATTAAAAAACGTGCTCACAGGCGAGCTCAAAGTCCTAGCCAAACTAAAGGAGTCATCTGTCAGTGTGCGGTCGAGTCGGACGGCAGGTGGGACAGCGCGGTCGTAGATTTAGGACGAGTAGAAGGGAAACCGGGCCAGACAGGGGAAGTGGGACCCATTCAGACATCCCCTCGGGGCAACTTTCTCCCGTAGAATATGTGGGTGACGACGAAGGAGGGAAAAGGGCGGAGGGGGGAGGATTGTATGCCTACAGGTTGATTTATGGCATGTATGTGCGGTCAGCCAAACGGTGACTGAGCTTCACTTTTTACTGAATTGAGAGCAGTACTTTGTCACCAAATATATATTCTTCTTTAATGCAATCATTATGTTAAATCAACGCCAATATAGAAGCAAAATCAAGTTCTCGAAAGGATCATGAATATAAGGGTAAACAATATACATAAAGGTTAATCCTCCCTTGCTGTAACGTGATATTGCGCGCTTTTGGTCCAGGCCTAAAATTCTCGACTGCCGCGTTATGTAGGTCGGCCGTGAAAGTCTCCAGTCGTCCTAATAAAAGCTTGCTCGCCTAACACCTATATATAACACCTCGCCTAATATATGGTGTTCCTTTATCCGTTTGACTTCATGAAAAAAGTATATCCTACCGATAAGTATCATCATGCATGGTATGAACTTGCAGTATAGATAATCTTTGACCTTCTAGTAATGAACACTTCAATATGCACAGAAGCTGCAAAGTGAGGATGCATATAGTATTATCCTTCCAACATTTTTTTTATTATTACATAATTTGACTTAATCTGTTCATGGTCAACTAGAATAATGATACACTCCTAATTCTAGAAGATTATTCCTTTGACAAACACCCAATCATAAATGGATCATAAACTGTTAACTGACATTTATTTGTTTTCCTTTCAGGCTCTACCCTTACTGGTAGCGGCAGTGGGCCTGCTGCATGTGGCCCTTGCTGACTACCCAAAAGCCACCAAGGCCCCCACTCAGTCTGCCTATGTCCCCGCAGTCAAGTATGCAGGTCCCATTGTCTACTCTGATGAAAAGCCACCGATCATTCACTTCCCTCCACCTCCTAAGCCTACGGTAAGCACACGTTGTCTTCTTCTGAATCATATATTGTTATCTTGAAATATGATCTGACTTTGACAACCATATGACAGTTTCGCATCATTAGATTTTTTTTCCTTCTCGGCAGGCCGGCGGCTACTCCAAAGGCGGCGGCGGCAGCAAGGCCCATGCGGTGAAATACGTTCCTCTGCCCCACCACGAACTTCCTGTGCTCATTTACCAGTCGGACAGTTCTCCTCCAGTGCACGTTGTCCACACACCTGCGCCTGCTACGAAGGGACCTGCATACGCACCGCCCCCTAAGGCACCTGCACCCAAACCTACTTACGGCCCACCGCCAAAGGCTCCCGCCCCTACATACGGCCCACCTAAGGCCAAGGCCCCTAGACCATCTTACGGCCCTCCACCCAAGGCTCCCAGGCCCAGCTATGGCCCTCCACCAAAGGCACCCAGACCCACATATGGCCCTCCACCAAAGGCACCCAGACCCTCTTATGGCCCTCCACCAAAGGCACCCAGACCTACATATGGCCCTCCACCAAAGGCTCCTAGGCCCACTTACGGTGCCCCACCCAAGGCCCCCACAACATACGGCCCCCCACCCAAGGCACCAAGCCCTCAGTATGGCGCTCCCGCTAACACTGGCCCATCTACATAAACCCCCACCTGCTCCTGCCCCCGTCCTGGTGCCTGCTCCTGAGCCCCAGTACGCTGCCCCTGCCGCTCCGAAGCCCTCGTACGGTGCTCCTCCCAAGGCTCCTCCTAAGGCCCCCGCCCCTACCTATGGTGCCCCGCCCAAGGCCCCTGCCCCTACATATGGTGCTCCTCCTAAGGCCCCCGCCCCTACCTATGGTGCCCCTCCTAAGGCCCCTACTCCTACATATGGTGCTCCTCCCAAGGCTCCTCCTAAGGCCCCTGCCCCTACATATGGTGCTCCTCCTAAGGCTCCTGCCCCTACTTACGGTGCCCCGCCCAAAGCTCCTCCCAAGGCCCCTCTTCCTTCCTATGGCGCCCCTCCCAAGGCAACCAAAGCTCCATCATACGCTCCTCCCCCACCAACA